TCAGCTCCCAACAGGCATTGTGTAGTGATGTGTGATCCTCACTAGGATTCCGTTTACTGTAGCACTTTGGGTATAGAAACAGTTCTCAGGGGAAGGCGCAGTCTCATTATTCCCACTCCTGATTTCCGTTTGTTCGCTGCACAGTGCAGAGCAAACAAAAGCAGCAGTGAAGGCTCCAGCTGCAGGCAGCCCGGCTGCTCCCAGCCCTGCGCCTTGGGGCTCTGCCAGGCGATTCCTGCCATCTCCAACTATTTGTTTTTGTTGTCAGGTCACAACACCCCCCCTTCTTCTGTCAGCTTCTCTTGTTTCCAGAGGGTCTGACTTATTTTTAAACTGTTTCAAATCCCTGGAGAATTTGGGACGTATCCGATGGCCGTTCCGTGCGGTGTTTGGATGAGGGGAGGGGAGGGAGCTCTGCTGCTTTTTGGGGCTCCCAGACACTGACAAGTGCCTGCTTCTTCCCACAGCTGTCCATGAAGGAGGTTGGCGACGGGCTGCACCAGCAGATGAACTGCATGATGGGCGCACTGCAGGAGCTAAAGCTGCTCCAGGTCCAGGCAGCTTTGGAGCAGTTGGAGATCTCGGGGGGCCGAGGCCCCGTCCCTGAGCAGCACCCGCACTGTCAGGGTGGCACAGAGGGGCCGGAGGAGCGGCCGCAGAGCAGAGCAGGAGCTGGGGGCTGCAGCCCTTCATCCCTCACCTGCTCTGTGCCACAGCCAGCATTGCCCCGTCCCACCTCACTCCCAGAGAGTGGCCGCCTCGGAGACGCCATCCCCTCTTCTTTCTCCTCTTCCTCCTCCTGCAGCCAGGACAGCTCCAGCTCCAAGGGACCTTCCTCAGCTCCAGCCAGAACAGAGCGCGCACATCCCAGGACGTCTGAGTGCAGCAGCCAAGGCATGGCTGGGGGATGGACTGTGTGTGATGAAAGCCGTGACTGGACATCCTCCCTCATGTCCCAGAGCAGAAACAGGCAGCCCCTGGTCCTGGGAGATAACATCTTCGCCGACCTGGTTGGGAACTGGTTGGACCTGCCAGAGCTGGACAAGAAGGGGGAGAAGAGCGAAGCATCGCTGTCTGCTGGCAGGTCCCAGGAGCTCTGCAGGAAGTTCTCCCTCACAGCCAACATCTTCAAGAAGTTCCTGAGGAGCGTTCGGCCAGACCGGGATCGGCTTCTCAAGGAGAAGCCTTGCTGGCTGCCGCCTGAAGGCAAGCAGCCCGAGATTTCTAAGAGACCCAAAAAGACAAACAAACTCAAGGGGACATTTTACTTCCCTCTTCATGGGAACATCCAGAACCATCACAGCAAAGCGGAGAGGTGCCCGAAAGTGGAAAGCCATATGGAGAAACCTAAAATGGGCACCAAGAAAGTCCGTGATACTGTAGACTACACCCAGTCCGGGTTTGATATCAATACAGCTGTGTGGGTCTGAGTTGGTCGATGGCTTCCCCAAGCATCTTCCAAACCAGGGACTGAGGCCGTGCGCTGTGCCCTGCCACGACCGAGCAGGCAGAGCTCCCCATGGAGTGAGCTGTGGCTTTGGCCATCAGCGCATGGCATCTCTGCTGGCTCAGCCCCTTGAAAGCCCTCAGGAGCTGTTTGTGAAAACCATCAGCTTCTTTGGCAGCTTTTGGGGTGAGCCAGCTCCCAGAGCCTGCCTCAGTGACAGATTCAGGTCACCTCTGGTCGAAACAGCGGCAGGACAAAGTTCACTGTGTGCGTGTGTGTGTGTATGAGTGTGCAAATATACATATAATTTTTTAAGAAAAATCTTCTCCTGCTTGCATGCACTTAAAACTGGGTTCCGAGCCTGACAATTTCAGCAGTGATGACCCCAAAAGACTTCTATGAAAGGAAGGAAAATTCTGAATTCAGAAGACAGCCGTACTCAGACAGTCGCCCACTGCAGGTGTTGGATCCCAGCTCTGCTGTGTTTCAGCTGTTTTTTTCCACCCAGGCTGCATCTCTGCTCTACCTGCAGCACTCTCCTTCCCCTGCAGACAGAGCAGCAGGATGAGATCCGTGCTCAGAGAGCTGTGACATTGGCCCATTTCAGGAGCTTTGCCTCTTTCCCCACACTCTTCTCCCAGGGGTCACATGGAGACACAACACAACGTTGCCACGGATGTTTCTTGTTATCGTTGCACTGTGACACAATTTTGCAAGAGACCTTTGTTATCCTTTTGTTTCTTATGCTGTGGTGTACAAACCCTGTCCTGAAAGAACCAAGTTCTTCAGCGTCCTGCTCTCCAAGAGCAACCAATAAAGCAGCATCATCCCTACACGGAGCGCTCCGTGTCGTGGTTTCGGTGTCCAAACCGTGCATGTCAGCCTCAGCCCCCAGACCCAAACCCCAGCATGGAAGCTGAGGTCAGGCGTGTGTCTGCAGGCCCCATCCCACTGGAGACACGTCCTGAGGGCTCAGCACACAGCTGAGTTCTGTGGTGTTGGGTTGCAAAAACCTGTTCTGCTCATTCCAATTTAAGAGTGGGAGCAGCAGTGTTTGGTTTTTCAAACGTGCAACTCTTCCAGCCTCCCTGGACACACAGGCCGGTGGAGGAGAGGCATGGAGAGAGAAATATTTTCTCCCCTCAGCAATTAAATATAGGCACAAGGCAAGCCCTGCTTCTGCCCATACAAGGAGAGAAGAGCGGGTCAGCATCTGCCAGTGCTGCTCAGCACTTTTTCAGGAACCTGAGTTGCAAGCAGCTTTTGTTTTCCTTCCTCACGGGCTTCAGGTCTGATTGTTTTGTCTCACATTTCTCCGAATGCTGAAAAGCTGTTTTTGCAGTGTTTTATTTATCAGCAATCCATCCTGTTTATTACATATGCTCCCCCCGGTCCCCACCGGTCCTTTCCCACCAGCAAAGAGAAGGAGCTTTCTATAAGCAGCAGCAACACCAAACAGCAGAATGCAGCACAACAGCTCTTTCCAGAACCAGGAACCAAATTCCCCCCTTTCCCTGGCTGTGCAGGCAGCTGACCCCATGCCCAGCACTGCTCCTGATGCCCGTGTGCCCTCTCTGACCCCTGAGCCTACCTCCAAAGGGTATTTTGCATTGCAGTAGGATTTTCTGGGGTGTTTACAGTGACAAGCTGAGCATGATCCAGGCTTCAAACAGCTGCTTGAAAATCGTGAGACAATGTAGTTGCATCTCCACGTTCTTGGGAGAAAAAAAATATATATTTAATTAATATTCCTTAAGAGGCATTCAGACAATAAGGACTATCAGCCGAGCCAGACGCCCTACCCCTTTTTGTCTCCGGAGCAGGATTTGCTAATAGATGTGGGGAGGATTTGTGAATTACCATTTCACTTCTCCAGGGACTTTTCCTGAAATGATAATGGCTTTTTCTCCTCTTTTTTCATGAAACTGCCATGAAATAGTTCCCCATTATTAAGTATGAGACCTACCTAATTAGCACGATGACAGTCTTTAATGAGGTCCTGGCCGTGTTCTGCATCTTTGATAGGTGCGATTAATACCAAACCCTGTGCAATAATTACAGAACCACCTTCCCCCATGAACCTGCCCTGTGGAAGGCAGCACTCGAAAATGAACCTCAGGAGTTTGGATTTATTAGAAATCTCAATTCTTGGGGCGTGCGAAGCCCAGAGGGAATCAGATGTGCTGAAGTTAATTTGACACCAATAACATTCATTCAGACACGGGGGGGTTAATGAGGCAGTGTGAAAGATGGTCCCGGTCCTGTGCTCACTGGTGGCAGCAGCAGCACTGCTCAGCACTGCCCACTGATGCCCATTGCTGCCCATCACTGCCCATTTCGTAGAGTCATAGAATCATAGAACAGTCTGGGATGACCACAATGATCATCTCATTCCAACCCCCTGCTGTGTGCAGGGTCCCCAACCAGCAGACCAGGCTGCCCAGAGCCACATCCAGCCTGGCCTTGAATGCCTGCAGGGATGGGGCATCCACAGCCTCCTTGGGCAACCTGTTCTGCCCATTTCTGCCCATTGCTGCCCATCACTGCTCATTAATGCCCATTGCTGCTCAGCAACTCCCATCATTGCCCATTGCTGCCTGTGCCGTGGGCCCAGGGCAGTGCTGTGTCTGTCCCATATCACTGTGTGCAGAGCTCTGGGTTCTCCCATCTGGTGCCCTGATTCCCAGGGCTGCTCCTCACTCTGCCTCCATGCTCTCCCATCCCAGGCAGCACTGATGCTCGCAGTGTGCTTCCCTCAGTCAGATGGCCTCCAGAAGGCTCACAAATGTGCCTGTAATTAAAAAGCCTCTGTTTTCAAAAGCATTTCACAGCTTGTTGTCTGACAAGAGGGTGGGCTGACGCTGGGCAAGAGGAAGGCAAACACAGGCATTGCCTTCTTGCTCCCCCCACTGCTCCTGGTGGTCCCACTGCTGCACTGCTGTGTCCCACTAACCAGAAAGGCTCCTGAGTGCAGACAAACATACCAATTTCCCCTCAGTTCCCCTCATATTGAGTCTGGTATGAGGAAAGAAACCAACTGTCACATCCGTATCCTTCACAGCCCAGTGCCGCTCTGTTCACTCCAACACGTTCCCCACCACCTTCATTGAGTTGTTGACCATCAGCAGAATCCCTTCTCCCCCTTTAAGCTCCCAAGAACTGAACCACACTTTAACACCCGTGTCTCTGCAGATGAGGATATGTTTATCTTCCCTTTTGTTGATTGTACCCACGTGGCATTTCTAATCAAGTACTGAGCCCTCTCCAGCTGGCGGGCAGCCTGGGCTGCTCTCACAGAACACATACAAACCACTTTCTGGCACCGATTTCCCTCAGCTGGGAGCTGTGCCATCCCTGCTCAGCTGCAGGGGATGGGGTTTTGCCCTTGGATTTAACCTGGGGATGGCCCTTCTGCCCGCTTCTGTCCCTTCCTGCAGCTTTTGTGGTTCTCTGCCCTGCTGTCAGAAACACCTGCTCAGGTTTCTCGGCCTTCAGCGAGCTGGAGAGCAGAAAGGAGAAATCAATCCCCATGCAGAAAAGCAGAGGCTGAAGGGCAGCTTGGAACCATAACTCCCAGCGCTGTGCGTGCCGGACCCCAGCGTGGGCACCGGTCCCATTAGCAGCCATGTGAGATGGGTCCTGCCAGGGGCCTCCCTGTGCTCACACCACCGGGTTGGTGCTGGCGGGTGACATTTGGAACCTTGAGCTAACGAACGTGACGTGCTGTCAGTTTTAATTAGTCCCTTTGCTCTGCCTGTGACAGGTGAAAGCTGGAGCTGGAGCCCTGGAGGATGCGTGGAGAGGGGAATGCCAGGAGGGGACTCAACTGTGCACAGCAGAGCAGTGCCTTCTTTCTCCAAAGGGCCGCTCCATCCCACAGCACTATTTCTGTCCTCTCCAGTCTATAGCAACCTGCAGGATCTGAGAGCACAGAGCACTGTGTGCCTCAGGAGGAGCACTGCAGAATGCTTTCACATCTGCTCCAGACGGAGGACGTTGCAGCAGCCCCGTCTGAAGGCAGAATCGAGGTCCCAGGTCACTCCCAGCTCAATGACAGAGCGTTGGCTGCCGCGATGGCAGTGGTGCTGTGCAGCTGCAGCTCTCCCCGCTGCCTGCACCAGCCCTCCCCATCCTCCTCTTTTCATTCCGTTCCAGCCCGATTACAGAGAGCTTGCACCCGGAGGCAGCTCACCAGGCGTTTATGCATGCAGCTGCCTGAGCTGAATGCACGCATGTTAATGTGTGGAAATGAGTCGGGGCCACTTTTGTACCAAGTTTTCTGCTCCCTGGATCGAGCCCACCAGGTCTTCTGGGCCAAAAAGAATTCAGGAGAGGACCTCTGTGCTTGCTGCTCGCTCTGTCTCTTAACATTGCCCACATACCAGTGCTGCTGTTGGGCAGATAGCAGAGCTTCTCACAAAAGCAGCACCTTGCTTTGTTGTCTCTCTATGTCCCTTTATTCAGCTGCTGCTGCTCCATAACTCCTCAAGCTTGTGGGGAAGGCCATCACCCCCCAACCCTGCAGCCCAAGTGACCACTGCCACCCAGATGAGCAGCCAGCATGCAGCTCAGAGCGGTGCAGAAGCCGACTGCTGCCAGGCCCTGGCTGCGACTGCTGCTCCTGTGCCACGCACTGCTGCTGAGCAGCTGCTCTGCCCCTGCTGTCCATGCTTTGGTCTCCTGGGACCAACCTGTCATTGCTGCAGCATGTCAAAGGTATGCTTCCCCATATCTGTACCAGAGAGGATTATGTTCCCAGCGGGGGCTCGGGTTCTTTCTTTTTTGCCGTCGCGTGATTTAATGTGACAACTGTAATTTGATGTGACGCGTCTTTGCAACAATTCGCTACCTCGGAAAATCACAAACAAGCTTAAAATAAGAGCAGAAGGCATGGACTCTCATCTCCCTGTGTGCTGCAGCTGGAAAAATAAGCACCGACTTGAGGACTTCTCTGTGCTTCCTGTGGGAGAGAGCGAAGTCGTGGACACGATGCTGTAAAATAATAATGTGGATCCCAGCCCTGCAGCGAGAGCTGTCTGGCCAGATGCCTGCACCTTCCCAGAGCCCCTTGGAGTTCAGAACTGCCGTGTAGGAGCAGAGATCTTTGTGTATCTCCTAATGGGCTGAGGCTTCAGTCCCTGCCCTGAAACGAGCAGGATTAGGATAAAACAGACTCGTAGCACTCAGCATCCTATGCCATCGAGCTGAAAGAGAGCAGAGTAAACCTACAGTGGCTTTGGAATTGAAGATGTCCATTTACTGAGCCCTCTGGTTCCAAACCATTACGCTGACACTAATTAATCCTGGCATACCCACTAATTGGCTGTCCCAGTGGTTCCTAAGGTAGAGGTGAGGAGTTCTGCACTGGGACAGCCCCAGTCCTGGGGATGGGGATGGGAAGAAGGGGCTGCAGCTGCGGGCAGGGAAGCAGTGCAGAGTTTCCAGCACCGCTGGGCTTTGCCCTCTCTGCAGTGCTATGAGATGTGGACACGATGGGCAAATCCCCATGTCAGCACAGTGCAGGTGGCCAGTGGCCAAACCGTGCTCCCCTATGGGATCCTCAGTGCTGACCCCATGGAATCCCACACCATTGCAGCAGAGCTGGGCACGGCCCCACACGGTGCCCCCACCCCTCCTTGTGCTCAGACAGTGAGGAGAGGATTAAAGCTGTCTGCAGGCAGGAGAACACCAACACCGCTGCGCTCACCTAATTACGTTATTTAACAGGATACCCTCTCATTGATTGTAATTACTCATATAATTTGGGAAGCAATTCGCAGTCCATCGCTGCAGGATGCGCGGATCTCAGCTGGGAACAATGTGCTCAACTCTTCCTGTGATGGATGGAAGCTCTGCATCCCTCCAGCCATTCCCCAGCCCAGGGCTTCATGGCACACAGCAGCCCCAAGCCCAGGGCACCATTCATCAGAGGCCCCAGCTCTGTGCCATGGAAATAACTTCAGGCCACCCCACTCCTCCATCCGTGTGTGCTTTGGTTGATGATGACTGCATGCAGTTGAGTAAAATCAGGCCGTGCAAACCCAGCCCACACTTGTTTGGATTCTTCACCCGCTTTTGTAAGACCCCGATTTAATCAGGTTCCAACAATCCCAGAGGAATGTTTAATTAATGTTATAAAGAAACAATGGGATGATTAAGCAAGTCTGGGCGGCTGCCATGCGTGGGGCGCGTGGCACTTGGGGGTGAATCTGTCGGGGAGCATCATCCTACGGACCTCTGTGCCATTTTATTCACTGTTTTAATCATCTGCTCCAGTCCTTCTCTCCTTTTTGCGCTCACCGGGGCAGAGAAGAGGAGCAGAGATGGAGCTCAGTCTCTTCTGCAACTGCAGAGTGAAAGCTCCGAACAAGGAGCCCTCCCACCCCTCCTCCATCCCCACTCTGGAACAGCCCAGCAGCAGCTCTGGGCCATGAGGGCCCTAAAAGTGGTCCAGGAATAGCATCAAGGAGAGCCTGCAGCAGAGATGTGCTCTGGAGACACCACAGCACACAGGCTGAGAGCAGCATGGGGCTCTGCCCAGAGCAGCAGTGGATGCACAGCTCCTGGGGTGGGACGCTGCACACCATGGGCTGCCATCTGGGTGTCTGCAGCAGCCAGCACTGTCCATCCTCTCCCACCCCATTTGGCCCCTGTAAATGTTCTCAAATGGTTGAACGATGCTCTCATTGCATGATGGCTTCGTGGCACTGATTTTAGGCCAGTTGCTATCTAAAAGATAATTCTCGCTGCTCAGAAGCCTGCTTGCAACCTGAAGTAATTGCATTTGCCTTGGGTTGAATTCCTTTTGCAGCTTCTAAAAATAACCCCACCCCCCATTTCTTCTGCTTTTCACAGAGCATCTGAGAGCAGTGAATAAACACTGGGAGGGACGCGAAGGAAGAGGAAGCGGAGCAGCAGGGAGGTGAGGAAGCAGCAGCCCTGCATCCCATCAGAGAGGGATGCAGCTCAGCTCAGCACAGCAGCAGTGGGGGTTGTCCAGGGGAGAAAACCCAACTGCAACCCCTGTATGGCACTGAGTGGGGCTGGGAGCTGCAGGGCTGTTGCCAGCAGTGTGGGGATGTGGGTGGTGGCCAGGGTGTCTTCTTGGCCCCACATGTGGCTGTTCCAGCCCTCCCAGAGGGCCCTCCCTGCACCCAGCAGTGCAGCAGCTCTGCCCCATCTCTGCCCCATCTCTGCCCTCTGCTCTGTGCACCTGTCGTTATGCTGAGCCTTCTGGTGTCCTGTAGATCAACGGTGACTGCATGTGAGATGACCAACGTTGGGTCTCCCTCATTTCCAACCTCATCTAGCACACAGGAGTGGCCCACAGGGGCTCCTGCACAGCTGCAGCTCTCAGCTTACTGTGCTTCAGACCCGGTGAGCTCTGCCCTGAATTGAAGCTGCACCGACACAGCAGTGGCACTGCCCATTCCCAAAGAGAAATGAAGAAATGCAGAGTGAAGTGGGGAGTCTGTGGCCCTCCGAATGTTACATTCACACACATTGGGCATAGGAAAGGCTGCATAAAGGTGCACAGCTGGAGCTGATTTGTGTGACGATTTGTTCCCACATGGGCAGGAAGGGCAGCAGGGCTGCTGTCACTCAGCTCAGCTGTCACTCAGCTGTGCCATCGTCACTCCAGGCAGGTTACAGGGAACCTGATTTCTCTGGAAGGCATTCAGAGCAAAGAGCAAAACGACTGCTGACTTCCACACTGCTGAGAGGAGCATGGCTGAGGCTCCCAGTGTTTCACGTGGCCATCCTGATCCGGAGCTCACATCCTTCTGGCTGCAAAGCAGCACCAGTTCTTGCAGCACACGATGCTCCTTGGGAAGGGCTGAGCTCAGCCCTGTGCTGCACAGCTCTCCCAGCTGCTCCTCCTGCCAGGAGATCCAGGAACGCTCCCCTGTGTGTCCTCCTCCCCTCTTGAAGTGGCTGAAGGCAGTGCTTTGTTGGGGAGCAGCCCAGAGCTGCCCCATAACGCGTGCAGTGTGCTTGGCTCCGTGAATTTCTCCTTTGTGCCTCCATCCGCAGCCCACAGCTGCTGCTGCCCCACTGCATGGGGCCAGAGCACCCCCAGCACAACGGGCTCCTTGTTCACCCCATGATTAAAGGAGCGGCTTTTGGCCTTGAATGTTGGCACCACCCAAAGAAAATGTCATTGGTGTGCAAACACAGCACTGTGCTGGGAGCTGCTGTGGCTGAGGGGCGCTGGGCTGTAACTGCAGCTCCAAACCTCTGACAAATCATTGCCTCTTCCTTGGCTGCTGCCCTCCTGGAGCACAGCCCTTTGGGTCAGGGACCCTGTGGGACCTTGCAGACAGGGGGGCATCGTTCCATGCTCTGTGCCTGCTGATGCACAAATGCTGCTCCCTGCACAGCACTGAGCTGAGCTGAAGGCAACCCAGCCAGGAGCAGCCACAGCAGCACAGCTCTCAGCATGGCTCATTAGGCCTGGCCTGGACGCTAATTAGGCTGTTCCTGTTGCTGCTCCATGCACTGGCAGAGAGATGGGTTGCAGGTGATCACTGCTGAGCTACTATAAAACTCTGCTGGCGGCCTGCACTGGGAACTGACTCAAACCCAATTCCCAGAAACCCCAGAGGCACCGAGCTCAGATGAGTGCTGCTTTTACTGCTGGGCATTTTCATGCACCAGGTCCCAGCACTCGCCCTCAGTCTGTTTCAGCATCCATCACACCCATGGGGTCACTGTGAGCGGTCTCAGGCTCTTCTGGATAACGTGGGAAGAAGTAGAACTGCTCCACGTGAGCTCGGGGAGGGGGGGCAGCCAGCAGCTCCATCTGCCCTGGGGCTGAATTCAGGGGACGCTCTGCTGAGCACAGCCCTGCACAGAGCCAGCGAAGGACGTGGAGCTCCCATCCCTGCATCTCAGCTGCTGGGACAGGGCCAGGCACAGCCTCATCCTCCCGCACACAGCTGCCTCATTGCAGGGGGAGCAGCGTGGGAAAAGCACTGGGAAGGGGGCAGTGTGGGCCCCAGGGACCCCACGCAGCCCCCCCCTACCCCCCAAGCTCTGCTCACAGCCCTTGCCTGGAGCACACGTTCCCACGAGTTGCTGTGAGCGTGCACAAAGCCCCGTGAGATGGCACAGCTGCTTCCACAGCTGTGTGGGGGTCCTGCCCCATGCACAGGGGCTGGGGGTGCAGAGGGGGCCACGGGGACAGCGTTGGGACTGGATGGATGGGGCTGAAGTCACTGCAATGAGGTGCAGCAATGCGGGGCTCTGATCTGCACAGAACAGCCTGTACTCACACACAAAATACAAAATGAAAGCCCAGCTCTTCACTGAATATTCCACAGTAGGAATTAATTTCATTTCCTTGGAGTCAAGTCCTGGCAAAACAGATAAAAACACTCATTAGTTTTAATGATTTTTGCAAAGGTCAGCTCCGAACTTCACATTAATTAAGTTTCTCATCCTGCTGCTGGCTATAGGAGCTTGTGTGCATCCATGTGGTGCCCCTGCAGCCACTCTGACCAACCCACAGTGGGAAACACCATCCAAAATAACCTTTAGAGAACAGAGA